ACCAAGTCAACCTTCATTAGCTGGTATGGGTTGGCGTCAAAGACTTATGGCAGCAGGCGGTTATGTTAAGTAAAGAAAAAAATATTTTTTTTCTTTTTATAAAAATGCCCCCATATAGAATGGATAGAAAATCTGCTAGAATAAAAGCAGAGTTGCAAAGATATGGTTGGAGAGTTTCGAAGAAGTTTAAATATAGGAAGGGAAGACCCATAAAAGTCTATGACAAATGTCTGGTCTTCGCTACGAAATGGATTTGGAAACAGCACGTGCCAATTATCCAAACAGACTAGAGAGGTTAGAAGAAGAACGTCTTATGGACATGCCTTTCGATGTTAGTGAACCTCAAGTTGAAGGACACGACGGCTTTGCCAGATTCTACTGGAAACATGACGAACAATTGCATCCTTTGAGAAGGAAAAAAGGTAGTGCAGAGGATGGTCATGCTCCCATGGAAAGAACAAGATATGCATATGAAAAGTATCGTGAAGTTAGAAGTCAAATTACATCTGGTCGAACCTTTACAGTAAACTTTGACGAAGGAAAGAACAAAGAAGGCTTCATGGGAGTACTTGCTGCCATACAAGACGGAAATAAGAAAGGACACAATCTCAGATTGACCATAACAGATTGGATGGTCACATTTACTATGCACATGGCAATGAACAAACAGCCGCAAAACTTCTTGACGCTTTCAAGACTACAAAGAGAGAACAAATGGTTGACTCCGACTCAGACATTTTGAATGCAATTGAAGGAATTGCAAGTGTCAAGTTCGAATGGTACCAACCTAACCCTCAAGCAGTCAGACAACATGCTGGATACTTCCCCTTCATAAATAAGTCTGACATTGACTTGACAAGGTATGGAATTTACAATTCAATTGAAACAATTGTCAATGAACCTTGCATTCTTACATGTCTCAGGAACTCTGGTCTTGTTACAGAAGAGAAGATGAAGTATCTTGAGTCATGTGTGAAGACAAGGTACATTCTCAGAGGTCAATTGGCAAAAATTGCACCGTTGGCAAATGTCAATATCCGAGTCAACATACCTACAGCTAAAAGGTTCTTCACATGACGACTATGTTGTTGAGTTCAATTTACCATGGTTGAAGATTGTAATTGTCCACAACCACTTCATGTTGAACGAAAAGTCTTACAAACCCATTGTTCGGAAAAGGCAAGTGCAACATTGTCAGAGCTGTAAACATTCTTTTCGAGAAAGGTTTGTTGAACCAATTCCAGATGACAAGCTGACAGAAACTTTTGTACCAAAAGACGAAACAAACTTTTCACTGTTAGCAAGACCAAAAGTTGTTCCAGACAAAGTTCTAGTACAAAAGAAGTTACACAGTTCCACAAGGAGTTGGTATGTTCGGATACCAACCTGAACCAGAAGAACTTCCAATGAGGTTGCAAGAACTTCAAGATGCTATAAACAAACTTCCATTGAGACATCCAATTGACGTCAAATTGTATTGGAGAGCATCTGAGTTAGGTCAGAAGGTTTTATATGAAACAGGTTGCTTCGACGATGTTTATGAGATAACAGGAGAAGTTTCTCAGAAGATAAGAGACTCACTTGAATTTCCACAAACTGGACCAATTGGTTGCGACAAGTTCGACTCAAACGAAAAGATATACTATGTCGACCTTAACGCTGCATACATGAGGTTTGTCCAATATTCCGACTGGAATTCCAAACGAAGATGGTGAGTTCCCGGGAAGGAACTATACAGTTGGAAAAGTCATACAACAACTGTATGATATTAGGAAAGCTTCAAACCCCAAACTTGCAATGACACTCAAATTGCTTATGAATTCGACATGGGGATATTCCATTAAGAAACCTCAAGAGATGAAGAGTAAACATTATGAGAAGGTCGACAACTTTGTTGAAAGGTTTTCTCCTTTTGTTTTGAAGTACGAATTCACTCAAGGTCAAAGTGGCTTAGTAACCACATTAAAACCTATTGTCGAACATTGGTCTTACCCTCAGTTCGCAAAAGCAGTCCTTGACAACTACAATAAATTCTTCTCCGAAGTCAAATCCAAAGTGAAGGTTTACTATGAGAACATTGACGCACTCATGACGAACGAAGAAGGATACAACAAACTCATTGAAATGGGTTTAGTCGGTGAAAAGATGGGTCGATTCAAATTGGACAAAATTTTCACCGAAGTTCATGTAATATCGAAAAGGAAATATTGGGGCATACTTGAAGACGGCACAGAAATAAAACATTGCATGAAATAAAAAATTTATTTTAAAAAAGTGACATTTTTTATTTTATTTGAAATGTACGCTGAGTTTGTTGGAGAAGACCGTTGGGAAACTTGTTTGTTAGATGAGAAATATGAAATGGCATACCATTTTAAAACAATATATTTTTACATATATTAAATGCTTCAGGTTGAAAAACAAAGAACAAAAGTAGCAGATACAAAACCGTTAGACTATATCTTTACAAATGCTGGTAGGACTATTTCAGATGAAGAAATTTCATCCCGAGCATACAGGTTTGACTATCCAATTCGTTGGCTTCAAAGTCCTTCAGATGCAAAGGCAATAGGATTTAGAAGAGTTTTGTTTTCAAATAGAACTAACGCATTTATGTTCGCAGTATATTTTCATGGGCAGTATAAAGGTTCTGATGGTCTAATAGACAAATTTGACGAAATGAGAATCTTTACAGTTCGTTCAGACGAAAGTCTTGAGAAAACTCTAAATGACTTTCAAACTCAAATGAACAAATATTATTGGGAATTTCAAGAAAAATACGACTCTTTACTAAATGGAACATACTATCTGAAACTAGAATATGACAAGATGAACTCCACCGTTTCATTTCAAAAGATTGAAATTAACCCTCCAAGAGATACAGAGTTTTTATTTTGGAAAGTAGACAAACGTTCTTGGGCACAATTTCTTCGGTTACTAAACCAGAACGAACCATTACCACCAGATGGTCCATTTAAATTTATACTTCCACCAACAGATTTGATGGTTTATAGAAACGTGTTTGACCCTCAAAATGTTATGTGTCATGCAAGTTTCAGTTCAAGCAACAATAGTTTTCTATGTATTGGTAAGGACTTTTATGACTTTGCTTCTAAATTCTACGAACCATCTAGTAACAGTTTCTCTGACTTTCAAGTTTGGTTCACAACAAATGGTGTGCAACATATTATTCCATTGTACTATGACTTTTATCTCGAATTATCTTTCATATATAACTACGGAAAAGTGCTGAAAAAGTATTGAAAAATAATGTTTATGTTAGCATGTTAGATCTAACACGTTTTCTAACCACTTTTCTAACATCGTAGAAAACTCATGAAAACAATTTATTTTTGACACTTTCACAAAAAACATAAAAAAGTGAAGTTAAACGTTAAGGTTTACTGAGAAAGTTGTTCCCGGACCAAAAATATAATTTAGGTGAAGAGGTGAGATCTCACCCGTTTTTTCACCTGTTTTTTCACCCTCTTGAATTTTCATGAATTTTCATGAATTTTATATATTAATGTTTTCGCTAAGCCACTTTGTGCCGTCAGTCAGTCAGTCAGTCAATGAAATTTACACCAAAAATAATGTTTAGGTGAAGAGGTGAGATCTCACCCGTTTTTTCACCTGTTTTCTAACATCGTAGAAAACTCTCGAAAATCTTGAATTTCCTTAAGATAGAAAAAATAAAGTTAGTTTTATTTTATTTATTTTTTTATTTTGTATGTAAGAACAGAAATGACAAACATTGAGTTTGAAACAGTTAGAAAGATAGACAATGACACCAAAGTGGTTAGAATCGGTGATTTAAACGTAAGATACTCAAAGAAATACAACAAATATTCTTTGTCAGACATTATATCTCCATCTGGAAAGAAAGCAAAGGACTGGGTTAGAATTGCTTCTACTCAGAAAATTTTGACAAGAAATCCTGAGCTTATGATATCAGTAGCATTTCATGGAACAAGAGCATATCTTATAGACAAAAGTCTTATACCAATAGTTTTGTTATGGTTAGACCCAGTTGTTGGATATAACTTCATAACTTATGGTTCATTCGATACGGAACGTTGCAGTGAAGGCTTACTTTACATCGTTCAGAAACCGAAGGACTTCAATACAAAGAGATATAAGATAGGAAGAACATATAATATAACTCAAAGATATGACAGTACAGTCAATAGAGTCAAGGTTGTGTTTGCTAATGATATGAGAGCTGCAGAAACAGAACTACTTGAAAAGTTTGAGAAAATGTATGGTGCTCCCATAAAAGGTAAAGAAACGTTTGAAGTAGATGAGATAGATAAAGCTATAAAATTATTTGACGAAGTTGCTGAAAAATACATGTAAAGCGTTTATTTTTGGTCTTTTGTGAAAATTCATGAAATTTGGTCATTTTTCACCAAAAATAATGTTTATGTGAAGAGGTGAGATCTCACCTGTTTTTTCACCTGTTTTTTTACCCTCTTGAATTTTGTATAAAAAGCAACCGCCGGAATTCAGACTGTTGCTATATTCTTCACAAAATGCTTGTTTTGAGGTCGAGCCACTTTTGGCTCCACCGTATTCTTTCAACCAAAACTCATGAATTCAGCAAAAATAAAGTTTATGTTAGAATGTTAGATCTCACCCGTTTTCTAACCACTTTTCTAACATGGTCTAAAACTCTCGAAAATCATGAATTTCCTTAAGATAGAAAAAATAAAGTTAGTTTTATTTTATTTATTTTTTTAATTTTGTATGTAAGATATGATTTCAGGGATTTTTTTGACGAAGTGTCAACCTTCACTTCGTCAAAAATAACAGTTATATAATGAAAAAGTGAAAGTTATTCTTCATTTTTTTGTATTTGACGAGAATGTCGGGTAGATGGTTAGATCTAACACGTTTTCTAACCACTTTTCTAACCTCTTGAATTTTCATGAATTTCCTTAAGATAGAAAAAATAAAGTTAGTTTTTTTAAAAAAATATTTTTTATTTTTATTGTAAGAACATGTTAGCAACAACAGCACCAAACTCGTTAGTCATGAATCCAACATCTATGTTAGTAGAAATGAAAAGCTTCATTCCTTCTTCATATACTTTTGAAACAGAAATCCAGAAGATAAAGCAAGAACTTTTAACAAGTAATTTAGACTGTAGTGCGAAAGATGAAACAAATGAAGAATATCTTTATGAAATGCAGGACATTATTGACCATTTGCCTAAACTACCTGAAATCCAACAACAAAAACTCACTATTCCTGAATTTGACGAAATTGAAGTCAAACCAACTGACTCAGTAGAAATAAAGAAGTTCATACGAAAGGTAAATTATGAATTCCTTGGTTTTCATTGCAACCATAAAGTTATGGACAAAGATTGCGACATGGTTTATAAAAATATTTCTGACATATATAAATCTGAAGAATTTAAGACATACGACAACTTTGTTTCGTTAGTTGCTGAATGTGTTTGGGAAATAAGAGATAAAGATAGAAGAGGCAAAGTATGGAACAAACAAATAAGACCCGCTATGTTTGAGATGAAGAGAGCAATTGACGCTTTAGTTGTTTTAGCTGGTTTTATTTCAATGTATAACGCAAAAATGAACCCGCAATGTTCTAAATGTAAAGCAGCAATTAGGAAATATAACTACTCCGTCAAAGAGATAGAACGTATGAGAAACGACTATGCAGACTTAAAGAAAGAAGCAGAAAAGCCAGCAGAAGATAAAATGGACATGTTAGCATTTCTGAACAAAAACTATCCAACTGCTGACGATTTCCTATTATCTGACGTCAAGAAGAAGTATAAAGAAACCTTCGGCATAGTTAAAACATTCGATGTACTAAAAGAAGAAATAGAAGCTACAAAACTGTTTAAAGTCATGAACCATCGCAACATATACCATGTAAAACGCTTGTAAATAGTTATGTTAGAAAAGAGGTTAGAAAACGTGTTAGATCTCACCTCTTCACCTAAAATATATTTTTATTGAATTCAGCAACAAAGTTCATGAGTTTTGTGTGTTTTAGACCATGTTAGAAAAGTGGTTAGAAAACGTGTTAGATCTAACATGCTAACATAAACATTATTTTTTCTATCTTAAGGAAATTCACGAGAATTCATGAGTTTTGTGTGTTTTAGACCATGTTAGAAAAGAGGTTAGAAAACGGGTGAGATCTCACCTCTTCACCTAAAATATATTTTTATTGAATTCAGCACAAAATTCTTCGATGTTAGAAAACAGGTGAAAAAACGGGTGAGATCTCACCTCTTCACCTAAACTTTATTTTTGCTGAATTCAGCACAAAATTCTTCGATGTTAGAAAACAGGTGAAAAAACGGGTGAGATCTAACATGTTAACATAAACATTATTTTTGCTGAATTCAGCACAAAATTCTTCGATGTTAGAAAAGAGGTTAGAAAACGTGTTAGATCTAACATGTTAACATAAACATTATTTTTGCTGAATTCAGCACAAAATTCTTCGATGTTAGAAAAGAGGTTAGAAAACGTGTTAGATCTAACATGCTAACATAAACATTATTTTTGCTGAATTCAGCACAAAATTCTTCGATGTTAGAAAATAGGTGAAAAAACGGGTGAGATCTCACCTCTTCACCTAAACTTTATTTTTGCTGAATTCAGCACAAAATTCTTCGATGTTAGAAAACAGGTGAAAAAACGGGTGAGATCTCACCTCTTCACCTAAACTTTATTTTTGCTGAATTCAGCACAAAATTCTTCGATGTTAGAAAAGAGGTTAGAAAACGTGTTAGATCTAACATGTTAACATAAACATTATTTTTGCTGAATTCAGCACAAAATTCTTCGATGTTAGAAAAGAGGTTAGAAAACGTGTTAGATCTAACATGTTAACATAAACATTATTTTTGCTGAATTCAGCACAAAATTCTTCGATGTTAGAAAACAGGTGAAAAAACGGGTGAGATCTCACCTCTTCACCTAAATTATATTTTTGGTCCGGGAACAACTTTCTCAGTAAACCTTAACGTTTAACTTCACTTTTTTATGTTTTTTGTGAAAGTGTCAAAAATAAATTGTTTTCATGAGTTTTCTACGATGTTAGAAAAGTGGTTAGAAAACGTGTTAGATCTAACATGCTAACATAAACATTATTTTTCAATACTTTTTCAGCACTTTTCCGTAGTTATATATGAAAGATAATTCGAGATAAAAGTCATAGTACAATGGAATAATATGTTGCACACCATTTGTTGTGAACCAAACTTGAAAGTCAGAGAAACTGTTACTAGATGGTTCGTAGAATTTAGAAGCAAAGTCATAAAAGTCCTTACCAATACATAGAAAACTATTGTTGCTTGAACTGAAACTTGCATGACACATAACATTTTGAGGGTCAAACACGTTTCTATAAACCATCAAATCTGTTGGTGGAAGTATAAATTTAAATGGACCATCTGGTGGTAATGGTTCGTTCTGGTTTAGTAACCGAAGAAATTGTGCCCAAGAACGTTTGTCTACTTTCCAAAATAAAAACTCTGTATCTCTTGGAGGGTTAATTTCAATCTTTTGAAATGAAACGGTGGAGTTCATCTTGTCATATTCTAGTTTCAGATAGTATGTTCCATTTAGTAAAGAGTCGTATTTTTCTTGAAAATTCCCAATAATATTTGTTCATTTGAGTTTGAAAGTCATTTAGAGTTTTCTCAAGACTTTCGTCTGAACGAACTGTAAAGATTCTCATTTCGTCAAATTTGTCTATTAGACCATCAGAACCTTTATACTGCCCGAAAATATACTGCGAACATAAATGCGTTAGTTCTATTTGAAAACAAAACTCTTCTAAATCCTATTGCCTTTGCATCTGAAGGACTTTGAAGCCAACGAATTGGATAGTCAAACCTGTATGCTCGGGATGAAATTTCTTCATCTGAAATAGTCCTACCAGCATTTGTAAAGATATAGTCTAACGGTTTTGTATCTGCTACTTTTGTTCTTTGTTTTTTCAACCTGAAGCATTTAATATATGTAAAAATATATTGTTTTAAAATGGTATGCCATTTCATATTTCTCATCTAACAAACAAGTTTCCCAACGGTCTTCTCCAACAAACTCAGCGTACATTTCAAATAAAATAAAAAATGTCACTTTTTTTAAAATAAATTTTTTATTTCATGCAATGTTTTATTTCTGTGCCGTCTTCAAGTATGCCCCAATATTTCCTTTTCGATATTACATGAACTTCGGTGAAAATTTTGTCCAATTTGAATTGACCCATCTTCTCACCGACTAAACCCATTTCAATGAGTTTGTTGTATCCTTCTTCGTTCGTCATGAGTGCGTCAATGTTCTCATAGTAAACCTTCACTTTGGATTTGACTTCGGAGAAGAATTTATTGTAGTTGTCAAGGACTGCTTTTGCGAACTGAGGGTAAGACCAATGTTCGACAATAGGTTTTAATGTGGTTACTAAGCCACTTTGACCTTGAGTGAATTCGTACTTCAAAACAAAAGGAGAAAACCTTTCAACAAAGTTGTCGACCTTCTCATAATGTTTACTCTTCATCTCTTGAGGTTTCTTAATGGAATATCCCCATGTCGAATTCATAAGCAATTTGAGTGTCATTGCAAGTTTGGGGTTTGAAGCTTTCCTAATATCATACAGTTGTTGTATGACTTTTCCAACTGTATAGTTCCTTCCCGGGAACTCACCATCTTCGTTTGGAATTCCAGTCGGAATATATTGGACAAACCTCATGTATGCAGCGTTAAGGTCGACATAGTATATCTTTTCGTTTGAGTCGAACTTGTCGCAACCAATTGGTCCAGTTTGTGGAAATTCAAGTGAGTCTCTTATCTTCTGAGAAACTTCTCCTGTTATCTCATAAACATCGTCGAAGCAACCTGTTTCATATAAAACCTTCTGACCTAACTCAGATGCTCTCCAATACAATTTGACGTCAATTGGATGTCTCAATGGAAGTTTGTTTATAGCATCTTGAAGTTCTTGCAACCTCATTGGAAGTTCTTCTGGTTCAGGTTGGTATCCGAACATACCAACTCCTTGTGGAACTGTGTACTTCTTTTGTACTAGAACTTTGTCTGGAACAACTTTTGGTCTTGCTAACAGTGAAAAGTTTGTTTCGTCTTTTGTACAAAAGTTTCTGTCAGCTTGTCATCTGGAATTGGTTCCAACAAACCTTTCTCGAAAAGAATGTTTACAGCTCTGACAATGTTGCACTTGCCTTTTCCGAACAATGGGTTTGTAAGACTTTCGTTCAACATGAAGTGGTTGTGGACAATTACAATCTTCAACCATGGTAAATTGAACTCAACAACATAGTCGTCATGTGAAGAACCTTTAGCTGTAGGTATGTTGACTCGGATATTGACATTTGCCAACGGTGCAATTTTTGCCAATTGACCTCTGAGAATGTACCTTGTCTTCACACATGACTCAAGATACTTCATCTTCTCTTCTGTAACAAGACCAGAGTTCCTGAGACATGTAAGAATGCAAGGTTCATTGACAATTGTTTCAATTGAATTGTAAATTCCATACCTTGTCAAGTCAATGTCAGACTTATTTATGAAGGGAAGTATCCAGCATGTTGTCTGACTGCTTGAGGGTTAGGTTGGTACCATTCGAACTTGACACTTGCAATTCCTTCAATTGCATTCAAAATGTCTGAGTCGGAGTCAACCATTTGTTCTCTCTTTGTAGTCTTGAAAGCGTCAAGAAGTTTTGCGGCTGTTTGTTCATTGCCATGTGCATAGTAAATGTGACCATCCAAATCTGTTATGGTCAATCTGAGATTGTGTCCTTTCTTATTTCCGTCTTGTATGGCAGCAAGTACTCCCATGAAGCCTTCTTTGTTCTTTCCTTCGTCAAAGTTTACTGTAAAGGTTCGACCAGATGTAATTTGACTTCTAACTTCACGATACTTTTCATATGCATATCTTGTTCTTTCCATGGGAGCATGACCATCCTCTGCACTACCTTTTTCCTTCTCAAAGGATGCAATTGTTCGTCATGTTTCCAGTAGAATCTGGCAAAGCCGTCGTGTCCTTCAACTTGAGGTTCACTAACATCGAAAGGCATGTTCATAAGACGTTCTTCTTCTAACCTCTCTAGTCTGTTTGGATAATTGGCACGTGCTGTTTCCAAATCCATTTCGTAGCGAAGACCAGACAATTTGTCATAGACTTTTATGGGTCTTCCCTTCCTATATTTAAAATTCTTCGAAACTCTCCAACCATATCTTTGTAACTCTGCTTTTATTCTAGCAGACTTTCTATCCATTCTATATGGGGGCATTTTTATAAAAATAAAAAAATATTTTTTTTTCTTTACTTTACATAACCGCCTGCTGCCATAAGTCTTTGACGCCAACCCATACCAGCTAATGAAGGTTGACTTGGTTTAGTTTGGAAACTAAACTTTGTTTTTGGTTTATCTTCAGTTTTTGGTTTTTCTTCTTCTATCGGTTTTTCGTCACTTTTCGGTTCCTCTGACTTTACTTCACTTGCAGGAACAGTTGTGTCGTCAACATCTTCATAAATATCATATGCCATTTGTTTTTGTTTTCCTTTCAACTTTTTGTGTTTGTTGTAAAGTTTAGAATATTTCGACTCTAAGTCAATGAGATGTTCTATAATGAACTGTTGGTCAGTGAAGTAAACTTTTCCATCTGTTGTCTCGAAAGCTCCTTCAGACTTCAATATTTTATTTGTGAGAGTCTGTTTCTTTTTTGAGATACTAGCCGTTCCATTTCTATGAAAAGTGACTTTATAGTTAGGGTTTGTATTTCCAGACCTGGCACTTTCTATTATTGAATTTTTCTCTTCATCTGTAAGTTCTTTGACAGGTTTTGACAATGGTTCTGAACTTTTTGTTTGTGGTGTCAAATCTACCGTTTCAACTTCTTCGGTCATTT